TAATTGTACTCACGGCTTCACACTCATCGAGCCCGCTTTATAAACGTTGACGCAATGATGGGCTGAGGTAGTAGATAGTGGTCTTAATTTCTTCCTTACTTGGTAGAAAGCAAACCTGCTTCTCCGATCTTTTAGCTGGGTGAATATCAGGCTGCAAGTAGAGTCTTTCGCTACTTTACTTTAGTTAATTTCATATTGTCGTTGATACTATGTCAGGAACGCAAGCTGTGTCTGTGACTAGGGAGCAAGTCACAGTGCTTCTATCGATATTCTGCTACAGACTTGTCTGTGGATGGATCATAAACTCTGCATGTCTGGTGTTTTGCTTCACATCGAGTTCACTTTCCAGCAGACGCTAGCATCTACACTCTATCTGCAGTGATAATGACAAGCAGTTTCGTTATTTCGTTGGACTAAGCTTAAATGAAAGGCACAAGTTGCTATTGCTAACTATCTCAGGATTTTCTGCTCTTGAGGCGACTTTTAGTTGGAGGTGGGCAGTGGAATTATGCGATGCAAGAATGTGCTTCTCCCCAACGCCACTATCAAGAAAACAAAAAGGTTGCTTCTATATAAGATTCCTTAATGGTTTGGAATGCATTTTAACGCTTTCAGGCAGAGTCGTACGCATTATTTACAGGAAGTTGAGGAGTTTTTGGTGTCAGTAGCACTCGAAATTGGTCATGCATCTTGCCCGTTCTTCAGCCATGAATTTTCTAATTATGGGTTCTTCCTTTTCATATAAGTCTTCACGGATTCCAAGTTGTTCAAATCTGCGTTCCATTCGTCTGTTAATTGTATCCAAATTCAATGAATCCAGAGAAGGTGAACGCTGATTGTCTTTTTCATTGTGCAGCACAAAGGTTGAGCTGCAGCTCAGATAACCTGGTTCCTCACAGTCTTGTGCACTCCTTGCCACCTTTATTTTGTAAACAGGAGTTTCTATAACTCTGTGGACTTTTATCGGCCTGGAAAAACTCGGACTTGCAGACCTTCCAATCCTTGAGGGACCTACATTTAGCAGTCTTGGATCATATACTTGGACGATATCTTCACTTTCAGATCTGCTTTGTTGAATGCGCACTTCTTCAGCAGCTAGCTCCACTTTCAACTGAGTTACCTGTGCAAGCAGATCAGCTAACTTCGATGAGTCTTTTATTTTCTCAACTGGAACGGGGGTCCTAACAACTTTTGCTGCCTTTGGTTTGGGTTGCGGATGCTTGTTTTCTAGTACCACTTGTACGCAGACATTGTGCTTGTTACTTGTCTCCTGTGAGAGTACTGGACATATCTTCGTTCCAACCAATTGGTCGTGACCTTTAAGTGAACTAGAAGTTGCTGCATTCATGAATTCTTCTTCTTTTCGGTCTAGCTCTTTTTCCGCTTGAATTCGTTTTGCTTCCCGTTGCCTCTTTTCCTCAATCTGATTCATCAATTCCGCTCGGTACATTGCGTTAGCCTGTTTTTGAGTCTCTGTTAACGGATCTCCAAATATTCCGTTGCCACCTCTGGCATATCGGGAATGCATGGTATTTAATAGTGCAGGATTTTGATTCACTGTTTCCTCACCTTTCACACGAGTTCGATAATCCAACTTGTTGGGTTTATGCATTTCTGCTAGCTTCACTCGATCCTCCTCCCTACCTTTTATTCTCTCCAATGCCTTTTGCTCCTGCATCTCCCTAATTTGCTTATTTAGTCCGTTTGCATATTCTTCTTTTTTTATCGGTTTTATGCGTTTTTGTGAGGTGGACGAGCCAGGTGAACTCAAGGAGCATTGTTTATTCCCGTCACTACCTTCAGGACGCGCTAACGAACTCAAAGGCCGGCGGTCTAAGTTGGATGTTTTATGGTTTTCAGACACAGTTAATGTCATTATGATGCTCTCCAGTTCGTTCAGATGCTTGACTGCCTCATCGATTATGTTCAGGTTCCGAGGTTCCTCCACTTTGACTTTATGATCATCCTCAGTCTCTGTATTTGTGTTGTTATTGCCTCTTGTTTCCAGATTCGATTGACTTTGTTTTAACTCATCGACATCTTTTTGAAGGACTTCTAACCTATTAAGTAGAATTTTGATATGATCGCCGGAGTTTTCACTCGAGATTGTGGATGTGCTATCGACAACTCCTTTATTCACCTGTTCGGTCTTGTTCGTTTTCTTGGAAGCAAAGCGATTGCGAAACTTTTCTTCGTCTAGCAGCTTAAACTGTTGGTACTCCAGACTTAATTCTTGTCGCTTTCTTATTCTTTCGATATCCTTGTTTTGAAAATTAAAAAATGACATCCTTTCGCAGGTATGCAGTTGCTGGGCGTACTTGATGCGGATTTCGTTGATTGACTAGAAATATGTTAAATTTCGGGAACAAAGCAATACCATCTTCGGCATGGTGGTTTGCCAACTGCCGGACAGTTCGTAGAAGTGCTAGCGTTCCATCCACAAGGGTATATACACTTAGTTTGTTAAAACAAGTGCAGTGTGAGTATATATCTGTGATCCGCTGATCCTGCACAAGTTCTGCTAATTCTTTAGCGAATCATAAACTTTCACTAAATATGATCAAACGGTTTAACAAACGTGTCTACTTGCGCAATGTTGCGAGACACAAGATTTCAAAAATTTCAACACGCGTTGGATGTTGACTATTTTTGTTTTTGGCTTTGACTGCTGATTGCATGTATTCCATAGAGAACAAGGAAATTAGGTCTGAGCAAGTCCCGTAGGCCAGCCCACACATACGAGGGCTTGACTATAATGCTTTACCTATGTGAATGCCTGATGTTTGACGGTCAATTTGGAATTTATCTGGCTCTTGTACACGTGGGCTGGCCCTCGGGCCACGCTCAGGTCCCAATTGCCCTGTCGTCTTCGGAATACATATATTCAACCTCACTTATGCCTTTTACCACCTTGTGGGAAGCCTCGGGTCGCTACATAGGT